GACAAACATCAAACGAACGAAAACAATGCGTTCGTTTCTGCCGCGAACGCATACTGAGCAACGTGGTTCTATATTTGGCGCTTCTCTTACACATGCTTTGTACAAATGTTATACAGTTCATCTTATAGAAAATTTTATTGCGAACACATTGGTATAAAAAGAAATACGTACATAGAAAAGTAGGGTCAGGAAACGTATAAACTTTCCAAGCATGATTTCCCCCCGTGTTTTCGCCAGTGCGCTCGCGGCTAACTACTCTCCACTTCACACACTCTTGCGGGTGGGCAATTACCTATATTAAACATTCATATGCATATGTCCGTGTAGAGAATTTTATTGCGATTCCAATGATACCAAAATTAGCGATGTAGGACAACTGTAGGCTTCGCAACCATTAAGAGAGTGGAAACATTTTGTTGCTGTTTGGCGCTCTCGGCGAGTGATCTGCATAGTTTTTTTATTTGGTGTTGATACTCCTTATGCTTGGGCGGCATTTTATAGGTATGCTCTTATAGACAATTTCATTGCGAACACAGTGATACCAAATTTAAATACGTGCGCCTTCAATTATTGTCAGGACAGTCAAGAGTGTTCACTTTTTCGGTCTTACCGCGTAGGCGCGCGAAGTGCCGAAAGCATCTGGGGTATTGTTTTTTTTTTGAGCGCCGAGAGCGCGAAAGTGTTAAGTGATAAGAAGGCACTTAAGGGGGCGTCGTTTCAGTTTCAGTACTGTAGCCTAAATAGTAAGGGAGATTTTTAATTATTTTTTATTTTTTTTACACATTTTCAAGTGTAAGTTTACAACCACACCTTTCATATATAATCATTCTATGATACTTCTCTGACACATTAACATATAATAAAGGATCTCTTGCAAGAGATTTTCCAAAATGTCTTTAGTTTTCCTAATACAAATAGTCCCCCCCCCAAAAAATTATGCAAATATAACATGTTTATTGCTATTATAAAGTCAATAAAGAACTCGAGATAAAAACGCTTGCTTACGATTTTAGAGATGTAAAATTTACGTGTAATGTGTAAGTTTCATGTAAATTGCATAAAAAATTAGATGTTCATTTTCAAGTAACAAACATGCAAGTAAGTAAAAAAATAGTTTAAGGTGTTGCCCTCTGTGGATGAAGTTGACATCAACCAATTTCCTCCAAAATTGGCACCCTTACAGATAGGCATACATGCAGTCAGGTGTATAAGCTTCATGCAAATTGCCTTATAAACAAGAGAGAAAATTAAAAAAAAAAGTAAAATTTGCCTTTTTTTTAAGTTTTTTAATAAAACTAATTATAATTTGTTTTTAATATATGCTATTGTGATAGCCGAGAGTCAGACATGAGTTCAGTTGACATTTTTGTTTGATAATAGTTTTTGACCATTTTTTTTAAATTTTGACTTATATAATTCAATATTTTTTTCTCCCTTTCTATTTATGCTACGATGCTGAGACTTGGACCAAATGAAACCCTTTTCATATACATAAAAAAAGTTTGCTTGAAATTGAACGAGTTTTCATTTATTGCATATTTTGGGAATAACGCCCCCTTAACATTGTGTGAATATTGTGATGAATATATAGACAAGCATATATCTGAAATTGTGATGTTCAATATTTTCTGACTAGTGTCGCTTTGTTTAGCATTTCTCATTTTACATGGTTGATTAACATTTTTTTTAATCTTTCAGAGATGAGCTGCATAATAATGGCAATTGAAGAATGATACAAAATTGATAGAGTACAACAAGGCAAGTGATCTAGTGTGGTTTTATTGTAATGACATAATCCACAATGCAAGTAATTGCATTGTTGGTTTATTATAATTTAAAATTAATGTCTAATTTAAAGTAATTAAAATTAATTGATAAATTTAGCAAATGCTCGACATGGGTTTAAATTGCTCTTTGGGTTGTTTATAGTCTTGTAACTTTTAATTATAAAGTTGATTGATCAGGCCTGTTCAGTAATTCATGTAAATAAGATTACCTTAAGGTTACCGTGGGGTGATTCCAGGCCTTAGCGACCCTGTGGCCCGGTCGTCGACCAGGCCTACTCGTTGCTGGACTGATCAACCAGGCTGTTGGACACGGCTGCTCGCAACCTGATGTATGAGTCTGGTTGAACCAGACAGCCTGGTTGATCAGGTATCCTTTGGAGGTGTTTGTCAAGTTCTCTTGAACACTGAGAGAGGTCGGCCAGTTATGCCCCTTATGTGTAGTGGAAGCGCGTTGAACAGTCTTGGGCCTCTGATGTTGATAGTTCTGAGTATCTGTTGCACCTCTGCAACAATAGGGGTATTCTGCACGTCCTGCCATGCCTTCTAGTCTCATGTGCTGTTATTTTTGTGTGCTGGTTTGGGACCAGCCCCTCTAATATTTTCCATGTGTAAATTATGTAACTCCCGCTTGCGCTCAAGACAATACAGATTTAGGCTCTTTAGTCGGTCCCAATAGTTTAAATGTTTTACTGAGTGGATTCTAGCAGTAAAGGATCTTTGCACGCTCTCCAGGTCAGCAATTTTTCCTGCTTTGAAAGGGGCTGTCATTGTGCAGCAGTACTCCACTCTAGAGGCACTAGCGTCTTGAAAAGAATCTTCATCAGTATAGCATCTCTAGTGTGAAAGGGTCTTGTTATTCAACCTGTCATATTTCTTGCAGTTGTGACAGCTACTTTATTGTGTTCTTTAAATGTAAGGTCTTCAGACATCAGTACACCCAAATCACTTAGTGCCTTTCTGTTCTATGTTATGATTTGACTGAGTTTTGTACGTGGTTTCCGCTTTTGTATTTTCATTTTTTCCGTAGCGCACAAGCTGAAACTTCGTTAAACACCATGTTATTTTCTGTAGCCCATAGAAAAACCCGATTGACATCTGATTGGAGGTTTGCCGTGTCCTCTATGTTGTCTACTCCTAAAAATCCTAGGTCATCTTCAAAGGACGATACAGTACTATAGGTTGTCCTTGTGTGTGTCCGATATGAGGATGAGAAAAATTACTTAAGCAAGCACAGTACCCTGGGGGACTGAGCTCTACTGTTGGTCCTGATTTTATTTTGTTCACTATTACACATTGTATTCTGTTCAGTCTGGAAATTGTAGATCCATCTGCCTATTTTTCCGGTAATTCCTTTGAACGAATTTTGTGTGAATAACACCATGGTCCCATTTGTTGAGTGTTTTTGTGAAATCTGTGTAAATTACATCAGTGTTTTGTTCGTCTTCCATGGCATTTAATGCCATGTCATAGTGGTCCAGCAACTTTGATAGGCAAATGCGCCCTGTTCTGAACCCATGTTGTCCAGGACTAAGGAGATGCTGTATCTTGATGATTTCGGGGCTTTTTAGTGTCCCCGCGGCCCGGTCCTCGACCAGGCCTCCACCCCCAGGAAGCAGCCCGTGACAGCTGACTAACACCCAGGTACCTATTTTACTGCTAGGTAACAGGGGCATAGGGTGAAAGAAACTCTGCCCATTGTTTCTCGCCGGCGCCTGGGATCGACCACAGGATCACAAGTCCAGCGTGCTGTCCGCTCGGCCGACCGGATCCCTGTGATTCCATGTATTTTGTGATCATGGCACTTTCAAAGATTTTTGGTGTGTGATGTTAGTGCTAGTAGTCTGTAATTTTTGGCCTCTTACCTTATTTCCTCGGTTATGAATTGGTGCTATCTCTGCTGTTTTTAGGATGTCTGGGATAATACTAGTATCTAGGCTCTGTCTCCAAAGAATGTGAAGGGCCTTCAATAATGTTTTTTTTATAGTTCTTCTGGAATATGAGAGTTCCAAGAATCAGGCCCTGTTGCAGAATGTATACAATTTATCATTACTAGTGAAAATTAGGTCCAACATGTTCTCTTTTCTAGTTGGTTATACTATTTGCTGGTTTAAGAAAAATCGGTCTCACATCTGTAGCAGGTCATTTACATGTGCCTGTTCATTTAGACTACCTCCCGGTATTCTCTGATATAACTGTTAGCCAAGTGCTTCCATTTCAGGTGCCATAAGTTAGTCCCCAAACAGGATGATGTTCAGGTCTGGATTTGTGATGTTTTCCTAGCCATGTTCTGTTTTCATTAGTTGGTCTTTAAACTGCTGTGGATTTTCCTCCGGTGCCTTATATACAAGCCAATACAAGCCAAGCCAAGACAATAACTACATTTGGGATCTCTTATTTTGATTATCAGCACTTCCACCATATCGTTTGTGGTGTTTAGCAGCTCAGTGCAGTTGAGTGTGTATTTGATGTACAGGCTGACCTACCCTGTAGCCTGTATTTCCTGTCACTTCTGGAAGATTGTACAATGAGATCCATATTTCACTATCATGGTAATCCTTTGTGTGGGTTTCAAACATTGCCTTTGCCTCATGTAGGAGGCCTTCTATAAAATGAACACAAATAAAAATGTTAGTGTTTGTGGATGTGCTGGATGCTTTGCTTGGTGTTAAAATCACCAGGACAGGTTTTAAACTAATAAGACACCACCAGTTAAGTAGGTTTTAATATTAGTTGGCAAGCACTTCGGGTACTTGTGTATAGTCCTAGAACATTGTGATGATATAACCCTTAGGACACCTAAAGATTGCCAGTAAGCAATATGTTTAGAATCTTGTAACTGATTACAATGAAAGAATTGTACATACTTAAGGATAAAAGTACAGTAGTTTAATGTGCAATTTCCTTTGCAGATAAATTGCTGAACAGACCAATACTTGTGGCAAGAGTGGAAGAAGACGTTTAGGGGCGGTTGATTAGTCTTGTAAGTACAGTACTATACTAGTTGATTGTATACAAAAAGGCAAAGATTGAAGTGTGATATTTAATATTCCTTTAAATGATCCTCTATAATATGTTTTGTGATGAGATCTAATCCTAGGCCTTAGGACACCTAATGATTGCCAAGGGGCAATATGTTAAGAATTTTGATCTGATAAATGTGTAGTCATGTATGAAAATGCAATTATTGGTGGGAGTATTTAATATATTTCCTCTTGCAGTGGAATTACTGAGTGGGTCTTCAATCATGAAGCGGAGTCCATAAAAGGGTTCACACCCAAACAAGTAATGCCTACTACAGAATGGATAGCATTTGGAATAGGTGAGTGGTCGTCCTTTTTGTGCTGTAAGACTAGTTGGTAATACCATTTTAGATAGTTTAGATATAATTCTTGACTCGTGAACTGTGCATGGCATATATATACGTCTGGAGTAACATGTCCAACCGTGCGCATGGCGTATATATGCGACATAGGGTGCCGGGCACGATTCAAATGGCCTGTGGCTACACGAGATTCACATCGGCTTCCTGAGGGCTCTTGTAAACAGACGCAGTGTTTAAAAAAAATCGTGGGCGATATTCTCTGGTGTGAGAACCTCAGTACTGTGTGAGCAACCAAGGCTGGCGCATGCAGCATGAGCTAAGAACACTGCTGTTCAGCTTGACCACAGCATTGCTTAAAAATTTCAATAAATATGTAACTGCTATTATTTAGGGATGACAATATTACAGAAGATCCCTGACTGATAAAAATGACCAGGATTGTGATAATTAGCGCTGTGTGGGAGGAGTAATGCTGAGGGGAGGGAGATAGCGTCGTTTACTGACTGTGTGGCCACCCGTTATTGTCTGCATACACCATGCCAGCTCAGTGGTTCTCAATGGGGAACACAAATCTAGATACTTATATATAATGTGTGTATTAGTGTAATAACAGCAAAAGTATTATGTTGGGAAGAGCAATTTGGGTGACGAAGGTGGCATCATCTACATGACTTTTCTAGTTGTGTAGAGGGTGGCCACTATGCTCTTTGGGCACCCTACAAGCTTAGGTGTGCAGTTATGGTGAATACAACATATAGATACTTATATATAATCTGTGTATATAGTGTAATAACACAGTATTGTTGGGAGAAATTTTAGTGAGGCTGGCCTTGAACCAATGAGGGAGGCAGCCGCCAGCTGACGAATGTGTTTAGCGACATCTCCTAGTGCCTTAACTAACTATATTAGCTTAGTTCTACAGCTGTGGTGAACAAAACATGTAGATAATTATATATAACGTCTGTATATAGTGAATAAAAGCAAGAACAGTAAAGTGGGAGGAGGAATGTTGGCGAGTGAGGTGTTGAGGGAGTGACCGACTGGCTGGTGTGTGGCGGTCACTCCTCGTTGCTTTTTGACTCGTAATACTAACTTGGTGGTTCGTTATGGTGAACAAAACGTGCAGATACTTGTGTATATAGTATAATAACAGCAAAACTTTTGTTTTATGAACATAGGTGAATTACTAATATGCACACCTTAATTTTGAGTATAGCGATGATTCACCCCTTATATTATATAAATCTATCACTACACAATATTGAATAATATTACTGCAATAAAACTAAAAAAAAATCAGACATTGAAATTGGGTAATATCTTTGTGGCAACTCCCACCTGACAGCTCGGGTGACGCTGACTGCCTCTGACGACGCTCACATTTTGCCAGGCTTCCTCAGCCTATTGTGGCCAAAATATGTCACCTACAGTATTTATTTTTATTTTTCCCATGCTCAGTGAACACACATTAACATTTTTAGAAGATGAAAAACATTTAGAATGTTTTTTTCTTGTGCACAGGGGTGTAAATCTCCTCAAAACCCTTTAGCAGCTTAAGGGTTCATCTGATTGTGTTATTAATAGCAGCAGTATTCATAATTATTTAAATGCAATATTAGTGAATAGGATACAATCTTGGAACCTTTTAAAAACCATTACACTGTATTTATCTGAATGTGCCCCCCAGAGTTAAATTTGCCTCCCTACCCTCAGTAAGTACAGAACTACAAAATATCTAAGAAAAATAGGCATATTGTGTGCAGTTGTACTTTTTAAGCTAGAAAGTATTTTATAGCACTTCGTAACTTTATTTTATATTATGATGCATAATTAGACAAATGATCACCTGAGTGTTTGTCGTCACTACCACTGATGTTTGTTGGTAGATGACACTGTTGTTAAACAACTATTGTTATGGTTTAACTAGCGTTATATATTTTACAGACTGCATATTGTTCAGTGGATGCAGCCATCAGCCGAGGACTTCAACAGCGTTGAAAGTGGCCAGCTGCCATACTGATGAGCGTAACTTTGGTAATTATTTTATCTTGGTTCTCGTGGTAAATATAGTATTGCAATTTCCAATTTGCCTGCAGCCTTAACACGCTTGCTTTGGGCCAAGGTGTGCCTGGCATTCACGGGAGCTCACTTTAAACCACAATATAAAATGTATAAAAACAAAAACTTTTTGAACATGCTAATCCAGTGTTTGTGGAGCATGACATGGGGCAATTCAATTTTTCTTTATTATGCACCCCATACATATTTTTTTATCCGGCTCCCATGGCCATTTTGGCCGGATTTTGGAAATTTATCCGGTCACGAATTGGCCATATAAGGGCATATTTGTGGCGTTCGAATCACGGATAATCGCGTGGTTACAGTGGTTGGTTTCTGCTCACTTAACCTGGAAATAAATTATAAAACATTGTGAAATACTTCATATGATGAAAAAAATGACACCTCTACTGAGATCTTTATGATTAACAAGTATTCGTACGCTGAATGTTGACCAGTATTGTCATTCATTGGTTTGTAGAATGTGACTTAACACACACTCCTCCCTTTTCCAGATGGTGGCACAGAAGACTTTCGTGAATGGTGAGTACAGTACTATGTACAAAGTTGTGCTTAAAATGACAATTCTCCAAATTTTAGAAACATGGGCCTCTATGGATTGAACTTGCAAAATGCCTTACCAGGAAAGCTAGTTTGTGCTATTGAAATAATAAAGGAACAGAGTAAGCATTAACATGTGGTAGTCCTAAATTGCCCAGGCATAACACGAGAAGTGTTGGGCCAAATTTAGTAAACCCTCTTGCAAAATTAATTTAAGAATGCCATAGTCCATATTTTGTGCCTTACGTGTAGCAACTTGAGGTACTATGATATATATTTTAACAATGTCTTAAAATTCTTGTAACGTTCACACAGTTTATATGATGACAAAACACTTGTACTAATCCTGTAGTCACTACACAGCAGCGCCAGCAATGGTGGAACCCACTGCTGTGGACTAGAGGCCGTGTGTCAAATTGGCCGCAAGGCTGTCTGATGAAGTGCAGTTTAGTGCACATTAAGTAATGGACCTTAATGTAAATGTCATAAACAAACATTTCTCCCCCTAAGGTGGAACACCCTCCCATCCCCTATGCAAGCAACATTGATGCATCAAGGACTAAAGCACAGAGCAAGTTAGGCAGCTGGGCTAGCGGTTATGTAGCGGTCTCTGGTTAGTCTCACACTTAATTTAATTCTCATTGCTGATAATGATGAAATTGTAATTGTTTCCTGACACCTGAAGGTTCAAGCTCAACAGGTCTGACCTCTATATACACGAGCCTTGTCATTTAATGTTGATGAAGCTAAGGTTTTGAACTTTCCTCAGGTTTGGGATGTGGGAAAGTGTACAGATTAAGGTGCAGAAATTTGTTTATTGGTAAGTAAATGTTTAAATTTGTATATTAGGTTGTATTAATTTGTTTATCGGTTTGTACTATGAACAGTCCGACCACACAAATGATGAATTTTTTTAAAACTGGTTACTTGTAAAAGGTGTGGATAATTTTATGCAATGATGACAAATTTTTATACTTGATCTCTGTGAGAGAGTCAAAAGGATTCTGAATTAGTTAAACTTAGGAAGTATACATGGTTTTCTACAAGTATATTAACAAAGCCTTAACTTTCCAGGTGAAGTGATGTACGACACATTAACACTCAAGGTGAGCTTGTGCACAACAATATCAACTTTTGATCTGATTACAGTGATGAATATTCTACCATAATAATAATGTTGACTAGTGAATTCTTCATTTCTGAATTACTTTCAGCAGACTCAAATGTTTCAAACCTGGAATAAGTGTAATGTGTGTGTTTCTTGTTCCACAGATGGGCAGTCTAGGCACTTGGCCTTCTCTTCGTCCTTAAGCCGTGTTATGCAATGCTATGATACGCTATGCTACGTCCCTAGTAAGTAGTGTACCATCAGACTAGACTTGGTGCTGCAAAATAGTTTATTACTAAGTAATGTTAACTAAACAGATCGTCTAACTATGTGTTTATTTGGAAATTTGTTTTTTATATTCAGTTTTTTGCTTAACCCTTCCACTGCTCAGGGGTCCTGAGGACATTTACACCCCTGTGCGCACGAAAAAAAATCAATTTTTTTTTCGTCTTCTGAGCACATTAATTTGTCCCCTGGGCACAGGAAAAATAAAAAAAAATCGTAGGCGACATATTTTGGGCGCAATTGACCGAGGAAGTCTGGCAAAAAGTGGGCGTTGACAGAGCGGTCATCAGAGCCGGTCATTCTCCCGCGCTGACAGGTGGGAGTTGCCACAAAGATATAATTACCTAATTGTTTCAATGCCTCCGATTGATTTTTTCTTAGTTTTTTTTGCAGTAATATTCTTCAATAGTGTGTATAGTAATATATTTATACAATAAAACTGGTGAATAATCGCTATACTCAAAAGTATGGTGTGCATATTAGTGAATCAATTATGTTCATAAAACAATAAACAAATAGTTTTGCTGTTATTACACTCTATACACGGGTTATATATAAGTATCTGCCTGTTTTGTTCACCATAACGAACCACTAAGTTGGTATTGAGAGTCCAAAAGCAACATGGAGTTACCGCCACACACCAGCCAGCTACTCGCTGCCACTCAATTAACACACGCACTAAACTTTCTCACCCCAACAATACCATTTGTGGTGTTATTACACTATATACAGATATTATATATAAGTATGTATATATTTTGTTCACCACAACTGTACAGCTAAGCTGATAGTTAGTTCAGGCACTAAGTCATCGCTATACACAGCTGGTGGCTCCCTCACTCATTCAAGGTCACACGCACTAAACTTTCTCCCCCAACAATAAAATACTGTTTGCAGTGTTATAACCCTATATACACATTATATATAAGTATCTACATGTTGTATGCACCGTAACTGTGTACCTAAGCTTGTAGTGCGCCCAAAGAGCATAGTGGCCACCCTCTAAGCAGCTAGACAAATCGTGCAGACGACGTCACCTCTGTCACCCAAATGGGTCCTCCCAGCATAATCCTTTGCTGTTATCACACGAATACACACATTATATATACGTATCTACATTTGTGTTCACCAGAGAACCACTGAGCTGGTATGGTGAATGCAAACAATAACAGGTGGCCACGCAGTCAGTAAACGATGCTATCTCCCTCCGTCTCAGCATCACTCCTCCCACAGCGCTAATTGTTACAACAATCCTGCTATTATCACAACCCTGGTTATTTATATCGGTCAGGGGTCATCTGTAATATTGTCATCGCTAAATAATAACTTATATATTTATTTTGACATTTTTCGGCAATGCTGTGGTCACAAGCTGAATAGCAATGCTGTTCGCTCATGTTGTGTGCTCTATGGTCATCCTTACATGGGATTTTATATGTTGAGCCTTACCACTGACTTTCCTGGGACTCATGACATGATATGTAATAATTACTTTTAATGTTCAAAATGCAAAAAATCACCACAAAAGTGAAATTTCTCATAGGTGCGATCGTCACTAAGCGGGCAGCTGTAGTAAACTGAGGCAGGTCGGCTGCTTGACCATGAAACACTCGCTCGGTCGACCCGAATATGTACCAACAAATATCGTAAGTCGACGACACCATCGGCTGTCGTCGCATTTTTTTATGAAATTTACATCATAACTCGAAATTATCGTATGTAGGGACAATCGTAAGTCGAGGTACCACTGTAGTTTTAATATTTAAAACAAAATGACTTCCCTTTTCTTACTTTTCTACATAATCTTACTATTCCCAGTTAATATACCTTGGAAAAAGCTGTATCAAGATGTCTGCAAATGCTCACCATTTGTAAAGTATAGTTATCTAGTCCTTTACGTTACGTACACATGATGATTAGTGTCTTCACATTCGCGGTTTCCAACAGATGGCTTTTGGCCAATGATGCCTTGTGATGTCTGACAGTAAAGCTCTTTAAACTTTATATACTTTATTTATGACTTGCTTCATATGTAATTTCTATTTCAGGGGTCACCGTGTTGGAGCCAAAATTGTTAATTGGGTAATTATTTTTTGTGTTCAAGTTTAGTACTTTGAACTACTGTTATAACAATCTAGCATGTCTACCAAAGCTGGTTAACATTGTCTACTAATGATAGTTTGTAAATTTGAACAAGAAACTTTGCTTTCAGCTCGATCTACATGACCTGCCACATGCTCATAGCTGATAAAATTAAACATTACATTATTTGCCATAAGTCTTTATGGGGGAAATGCAGCTTGGGAAAGCTTAGTTTTTATACTTATTGCTTGATAAATTGAGTTCAAGGATTCCCTTTGGTGCACTTCTTAGGCCTTGTTGTTACATGTGTAACATTTTTAAACATCTTTTAAATTTAGCAATACAAATTTTAAAGGATTTTAACTCCTGGTTATTGGTACCTAGTCATTTGAAAAGAAATTGAAGGTTTTTATTAATAATTATTACTAATGATTGTTGCATTTGGCGTAACAAGATTGTAGAGCAGATTTTTGCATTTGAGAAGTTTACATAAAGATTTTTCAGTGTTGCAGTGTGCAATGTCATGAAGTTGCTGCAATTGCAGAAATGAATTAGGACTAGGTCTTTGCCTTCATGTTTAGTGAAAACACTACAGAAATGTAGACTGGTGGTGTTGACTGGTAGTGGTAGCCATGAGTTATCATGATGATTAGTGTCTTCACATTCGCGGTTTCCAACAGATGGCTTCGGTCAGTGATGCCTTGTGATGTCTGATAGTAATATTTATGATGAATATTTGTTGGTTTTTGACAATTTTGTTGATTATATTATTTTTTCAGGGCATGTGGCTGGGTCGAGAAGGTTCAAGGGCATCAGTTGTGGAATGATGCTAAAGTTGTGATGATCCAAAACTACCAGGTAATTTTAAGGTTGAAAACTTGTGCAGATATTTAGTGGTTGTTGTTTCATATAATATTGAAACTGAATTTTTTCTTTTAATTGTGCATAGTTGATTTCTGTCCAATGTAGCGATGAAATTTTGTGAATTACTTCATTTGATGAAAAAATGACACCTCTACTGAGATCTTTGTGATTAACAAGTATTCGTACGCTGAATGTTGCACCAGTTTTGTTATTTTTGGTTCGTAGAATGTGACTTAACATGCACTCTTTCCTTTTCCAGATGTTGGCATGGAAGATTTTCGTAAATGGTGAGTACAGTACTGGGTACCAAGTAGGTGCTTAAAATACAACCTTCCACAAATTTTAGAATCTTGAGCCTCTGTGGCTTGAACTTGCAAAATGTCTTGTCAGGAAAGCTTGTTTGTGCTATTGAAATAATAAAGGAACAGATTAAGCATTAACATGTCGTTGTCCTAAATTGCCCAGGCATAACACGAGTAGTCTTGGTCCAAATTTATTAAATATGTACCATTTATGACCTTGGTTAGGGCGCTTGACAGCTGAGGGGACTGCCCTTCTGATTCCTAGTTCCGAGGTTCCGGGTTCGATCCCCGGTGAAGGCAAACGGGCAAAATGTTTTTCACCCTGATGCTCCTGTTACCTTGCAGTAAATGGGTACCTAGGAGTTGGACAGCTGCTGTGGGCTGCTTCCTGGGGTTTGTGTAACACAAAGGAGGCCTGGTTGAGGACCGGGCTGGGACGCGAAGTCCTGAAATATAAACCTCTCAAGTTAGGAATTTAGGTTCTCTTGGCCCCTCTTGCAAAATTAATTTTAAGAATGCCATAGTACATATTTTGTGCAATACTTGTAGCAACTTGAGGTACTATAATATATTTAACAATGTGTCTTTGAATTCTTGTAACGTTCACACAGTTTATATGATGACAAAACACTTGTACTAATCCTGTAGTCGCTACACAGCAGCGCCAGCAATGGTGGAACCCACTGCTGTGTACTAGAGGCCGTGTGTCAAATTGGCCGCAAGGCTGTCTGATGAAATGCAGTTTGGTGTACATTAAGTAATGGACCTTAACGTAAATGCCATAAACAAACATTTCTCCCCCTAAGGTGGAACACGCTCCCATCCCCTATGCAAGCAACATTGATGCATCAAGGACTAAAGCACATTAGAGAAAGTTAGGCAGCTGGGCTAGCGGTTACGTAGCGGTCTCTGGTTAGTCTCAAACTTAATTTAGTTCTCATTGCTGATAATGATGAAATTGTAATTGTATCCTGACACCTGAAGGTTCAAGCTCAACAGGTCTGACCACTATATACACGAGCCTTGTCTCTCTTAATGTTGATGAAGCTAAAGTTTTGATCTTTCTTCAGGTTTGGGATGTGGCAAAGTGTACAGATTAAGGTGCAGAAATTTGTTTATTGGTAAGTAAATGTTGAAATTTGTATATTAGGTTGTATTTGTTTATCGGTTTGTACTATGAACAGTCCGACCACGCAAATGAATTTTTTTTAAACTGGTCACTTTTCTTTCTTGTAAAAGGTGTTGATAATTTTATGCAATGATGACAAATTTTTATACTTGATCTCTGTGAGAGAAAGTCAAAAGGATTCTGAATTCTAGAGTTAAACTTCCGAAGTATTTATAGTTTTCTTTAAATATATTAACAAAGTCTTAACTTTCCAGGTGAAGTGATGTACGACACATTAACACACTAGGTGAGCTTGTGCACTGCAACATGTACTTTTGATCTAATTAAAGTGATGAATATTCTATCATAATTATAATGTTGACTAGTGAATTCCTCATTTCTGAATTACGTTCAGCCTTCTCAAATGCTTCAAACTTGGAATAAGTGTAATGTGTGTGTGTTTCTTGTTCCACAGATGGACAGTCCAGGCGCTTGGCCTTCTCTTCGTCCTTATGCCGTGTTATGCAATGCTATGATACGCTATGCTACGTCCCTAGTAAGTAGTGTACCGTCAGACTAGACTTGGTGCTGCCAAATAGTTTGTTATTGCTAAGTTATGTAACCCAAGTATGATGATAATTAATCCTTCCTTAGATGTCTGACACAGGAGTGAAGACAAAGTGTTCTGAGATAGGTATAACTTGAATCTTTCATGTGGTGATTGTCTCTAGTAGTTAACATTGGGTTTATTTTCCCTTTACAGGCAAACTGGTTTATGCTTTTGCAAATATTCCTGTTTGGAGCATCGTCGTTGTGGAGAACTGGTACCGCCACTACTACAATATTTGTATATCGGGTATGTACCCATACCTGTGATAGCCGAATCGTCTAACGATGTGTTGATTAATTTGGAAAACCTAGAAATTGCTCAATTACTTGTAAATGTATCTGAACTAGCAACAGTTATAGTGGTTTCTTCAAGTTAATGGCATTTGAGTGATTTGTAAATATACAGGGTGTGCAACTAAGTATTGAATAATTCAGTGTGCCATGCCTGTAAGTAAAGCTGGGTGGTGGTTCTGATATCTTTATGGATTGTATGTTTTCAGATTAGGAACATTAGTGAGGTTATGGTCACGACCTTTAAGGTGGGTTAGTATGACATGGCAAGCGCTTGGTATGGTATGGAGCAAGGATGGGTGGGAGTGACTACAAATTATTGTAAGCTAAAATTTGGTGTTGTGCAAAGTATTGCTGTGGGAGAATTAATGGGCTTTTGCACTTAAATGCTAGGGTTAACACTTTTGCGCCTTGGTGGCTCTTGAGCGCGTCAACAGTCTTTGTGTCGACTATGGTAGATGAGGGGGCTCACGAGTCCAAAGAAAAAAATTGTATAAATTCTATTTTCTATCCGATCTACTTTGGGATAGTTTACAAATGTTCGCCATGAAATTTACGTTTTATCTAATAGCCAAACAGCTTTTTTGGGAGAACGGCATGGCAGTGAATCATCGTGGTAAAACGATTGTATTACTGACACGACTAGTATAATCGACGTAGTTTTTATATATGTTGCTGGTCGAACGTATCCATATGTGACCTTTTATACTTATGTTCTTCTAGAACATTATTACGAACACATTGGTACAAAAAGGAAATATGTACATCGAAAAATAATGTCAGGCTAGTGAATTGAATATACACTTTTCAATGCGGGTTTCACCGATATGCTGCCGCGGGTAACACTTAGGCCACTTCCCACACTGTTGTGGGTGGGCTGTGATATTGATTCTATATTTATATGCATATGTCCGTGTAGAGAATTTTATTGCGATTTCAGTGATACCAAAATCAACGCTGTAGCACAACTGTGGGCTACACGACAATGAAGAGTAGAAACATTTTGTTGCCGTTTGACGCTCTCGGCTAGTGATCTCGGTAGTTCTTTATTTGGTGTTAATATACCTTATGCTTTCGAGGCATTTTATAGGTATGTTCTTATAGATAATTCTATGGCAAGCACAGTGATACAAAAATTAAATACGTACGCCGACAATTATAGTGACAGGACAGTTAAAAGACTATACACTTTTCGGTCTTGCCGCTTAAGCGCTCGAAACTCCGCCAGCACATGGTGAAAGTTTTTTTTCAATAGGCTGCCTGCGGCAAAGTGTTAATGTTGGACTGATATCTATATTGATTTGCCAGGCACTGTTAACACTATCGCTCACCCGACATGCAAGCAGTCAACTTAGGTTATGGACCCAATGTGCGGGCAAGCGCACGATGACGCCTAAATGTGTGTACTCGTTTCAGCTTTCTCACCTTAATTCTCATGCTATGTCGTTCATTTTGGTATTGTGTTCGCAATTAAATTCCCTACAGGTGTGTATGAACATAATTCCCAAAAGCCTGGCATGACTCCACTAACAGCAAAGCCTGAAGTCAGCAAAAGTTACCCGTGAGCGCACAAAATCAGTAAAATTTGCATACTCGTTCCATTTTTCTCACCTTAATTCTCGTGCTATGTCACTCGTTTTGGTATCATTGTGTTCGCAATTAAATTCCCTACAGATGTGTATGAATATTATGTACAAAAGCCTGGAGTGCCTTCTCGCAGAAAAGCCTAAAGTTACCCGTGAACAAGCACCAATTTGTACTCTGCAACCTAATGTGTATACTCGTTTAGTTTGATAACATCAATTTTCGTTACATCTTTCATTTTGGTATCAAATTGTTCGCAACGTAAAGGTATGCATTTTAAAACTAGTCCCAAGATAATAGGACAATAAATAGAATTTTACCAAATATTTTAATAATTTGACCAAAAACCTATTTATAATCTTTCAAGTGTTTGGACATCAAGTTTCATGTTATATCTTTCATTTTGGTATCAAATTGTGCGCAATCTAAAGGCGCTTATTTTGATACTATTCCGAGATCGATCAGATAAAAATGAATTTTATACAAATATTTTTGTAGTGGACGCAAGTCCTGTCCACGGTAAGGATTCAGGAGAAAAAAAATGAACGGGATCGGTGTCCAAAGTCAGCGAGTGTTAAATAACTATTAAAGTTAAGGTGCCCACTAACTGCTGAAGGAATTTTACATTAATCTTTATTGAAATTAGTTTTAAATCTAATATTAGGTATATTGCTTTGTGGCATTTTAAGTGATAGGAAGGCACTTAATATTGTATGAATATTGTGATGAATATATAGACAAGCATATATCTGAAACTGTGATGTTCAATATTTTCTGACTAGTGTTGCTTTGTTTAGCATTTCTCATTTTACATGGTTGATTAACATTTTTTTTAATCTTTCAGAGATGAGCTGCATAATACTGGTAATTGAAGAATGATACAACAAGGCAAGTGATCTAGTGTGGTTTTATTGTATTATTGGCTGATTATCCAGAATGCAAAGTAATGCATTTTGGATTTATTATAATTTAAAATTAATGTGGAATTTAAAGTAATTAAAATTAACGGATAAATTGAGCAAATACTTGACAAATTGGGTTAAACTGCTCTGTTCCTGTTGCACTGTTTAGTAGTTATGAACAATGGGTGTAGATGGACAGGATAGTGGCAGCAATGCAGTATTTTAAAGTAATTGAGATCAGTCGGACATAAAGAGTGTGTCTACTCCAACTTTTTACACTTTTCTCCTTACTGTCTTAGCTCCTTCCTCCTTCCATCTGAACCATGTTTTCTGCCTCCCCTTACCCACTTCTCTTGACCTTCATCATGTTCGAACAAACCTGTGTGTCTGTTTCAATCTTTGGTGGCTTTGTTTACATTTATAAAACAGTTTATTGGCTCTGAAGTATTAGGAGGGGCTGTTATAACAATATTTCGGTGAAAAGTTATCAAAATAATAAATGATAAAAAGAGAGACTGGTATATCTCTGATCTCTGTAAAGATCTAAGAGTGCTGTTTAATAAATGTAAGCATGTCCACAAAGATAGAGGAGGGACAGGTTCACAAGTATATATAATCATACTGTAAATGTAATTATGATGAACATTTTAATTCACATTCGCGGTTTCCAACAGATGAATTCGGTCAATGATGCTTGTGATGTCTGATGATAAAATATTTGTCTTTTATTAGGCTTTGTTACTTAATATTATTATTTCTGCTTCAGGTTATACATGGATTGGTCAAGAATGTTGAGATGGTCAATTATATTGCTTCTCAAATATTGCAGTTGCTCCAGGCCTATACCAGGTAATTGTCTTTTTATTAAAAGAATAGATTAAATATTTGCATTTCTATTATCGTGTGGTAAGTTTAACTGCAAATTGAGGGAGATTTGGATACTTCATTGAAGGAATGTTGCTGTTCTTATAAAAACCTGGGTGAATATACCGTTGACGATCATAACATAATCAAAGCTCAGTGTAGTACACAAACAGTATAGGATTTTTCTCAGTATAGTGACTACAAATTTATGTCCAATTGTAATTGGACTTTTATAATTTAGACTCTAGTAATTTAACTTTTAAGGTTAATCTTTTAACTTTGATGACCAAAATGACTCCTAGTAAATGATTGTAATTATCCACTGAAAGAGGATGTAAATCCCTAATATTTGCATTTAAGTTTGCCATTTCTATGATGATATCTGGAAGAGTCTAACGATATATGTTGATTAATATGATAACTGAGATACTACTCATTTATGGTTAAGTGTGTGTTTGGTAAAGCTTCTAATGGGGGTTTTCCCTTCTGCAGGTGACTGGCTGCTGGCATAATGGTGAGCATCTTTGGGCTTGATGTAGTAAATAGTATGTTTGGCGCTTGCCTATTTGTAAATAACAGTAAAGCAAGAACTAGTTCATTATGCCCAGTCTCCTAGCTGTTGGTTCATAGTGTACTAATTACCCCTCTCAATATTAATGTTTTCATCGTATTTAAATCGTGGATGGAATTGGCTTCACTCTCTCTCCATTCCATTCAGTGCATTTCACCTTCCTACCACTCGTACAGAGTTTTTAATGGTCCACACATCTTCATCTAGGTTGGCTTTCTAGCCACTTGGAGTTCATGTTGTGGTATAGTAAAGAGATGTGTAAACATCTTGTGGGCATATATTGACCTGCAATGTTTAGCGTCACAACATATGATAACCTAAAATATAGTAAAGTTAAATATTTATTATAGGGCTTAAGATAAGAATAGATATTTGGAGCTGTAAATTTGAAAACTGGGGTCTGGCTTTTATTAGGTATAGATGTTAAAATTTTGCTGTCACTTAACACTATCGCATGCTGTTTGTGCGCTGTTCGGTGTGGCGACACTGAAAAGTGTGTACTCGTTTGTTTTCTCGCCTTAATTCTCTTGCTACGTCATTCGTTTTAGTATTTTGTTTGCAATGGAATTCCCTACAGGTATGTATGCATATAAGGTCTAAAAGCCCGGCGTGACTCCACAGCAAAGCCTAAAGTTGGCCAAGTTACCCGTGAACGAGTACCAATTGGCATACCTGCAAACTAATGTATATACTCATTCAGTTTGATAACAAATTTTTGTTATGCGTTTCATTTTGATATCCAATTGTTCACAAAATAGACGCGCATATTTTAAAACTAGTCCCATTAAATAGAGCAATAAATGGATTTTTTTTAACCTTTAGACACTTTTTGATGCTCATCACCACAAAATTATCTCTTTCCAGTGTTCTGACATCAATTTTTGCGTCACGTCCTTCATTTTGGTATCATTGTTTGCAATATAAAGGAGCGTATTTTAAAACTAGTCCCATAAAACAATAAATGGAATTTTAACAAATTTTTTAACATTTGGACATTTTGATGCTCCTCACCACAATTATTTGTCTTTCCAGTGTTCTGACATCAATTTTTGTGTTACCTTTCATTTTGGTATCAAATTGTACACAATTCGAAGGTGCTTATTTTGAAACCACCCAAAAGTTGGTTCTGTTGGTTGAAACCACCCAGAAAAATAAAATTAATTTTTTTTGCAAATATTTTAATACATGAGATGAGCAATAGTCAGTCCCTCAGAATAGGGAGAAAAATGAGTGACGACGGGTTGCAGCAACAGAGTGCGATTTGTTAATTTCCTTCCAATGGGTCCCTCCCTCCCTTAAGTAGGAAAGATGAGGGTAATTTAATTCGCCCAAATGCACGTTGGATGTGCAAAGTAGCAATTTTGACATGAAAATATTGTAGTTCCCTCCTTCAGGATGCTGGTAGTGGGAGCTTCACAAGTGGGTTTAGGGTAATAACATTGTATAAAATATGTAAAGTGGGATCCTTATGGTTTCTGACAAGTATTGACATGCGTGTATCATAATGTGTAATGTTAAATCTGATTGATTTTAATATTTGTTTTCTTATTTTAGACATCTCCAAGAAGTAATTGGCTGCTGAATACTAAAGGAGCTGATTGTACCTCATTGTTATAGCCACATGCTGAGGTAAGGGGTTTGGTATTCCTTGAGGATTGTAGAGATTTAAGCAGTAATTTGGGACTTAATGGAAATAAAATGCTCTTAATTGCTCATGGAATTAATAATTTGCATATCTTCTGGTATTTGTATTCTACTGTATGGCTGACAATACTTGGTCAATGGATTTCTTAGTGAGAATAAGTGATGATTGTTCACAGACCTGTTCTGTAATCGGATGAAGAAAGCAAGAACGGCCATCTGATCGTGGTTCTTCTCTGAATTTATTTTTAGCGTCTACATTTTTTATAATAAGCCCGTCTCTTTCCAGGTAAGAGGGTGTTGCAGTTTGTGGTGCCAGCATTACTTCCGTGAAGGTAATAACTTGTTAACATTATTCTGATAAAACCCATAGCCAAGAGGGAAATGTTTTTAAAATGCTAAATTTTGAACTAAATGTTAAATGTCGAAGAATAAAGTTCAAAAGTTGCTACTTAGTAAGAGTACATTTGCAAAGTGAACTAGACTTAGGTTAAAGGTATAGCATAGTTTGTGTGAATTTGGACTAATGAACACTACTAGTGTTACAATGAATTGCTGTGATCTGATCTGCATGGTAGTGGTGATCGTTGGTAATGTGTACGGTTGCATAAATGTAAAATGTTGTTTTTCCCTCGTGATGATGAATATAGACAAGCATATATCTGATAGTGTGATGTTCAATACATTCTGAATGGTTATAACATTTAAGTAAAATACCTTTACTTTATACAGTGCCTTATTTAATCACTCATTCCAGAAATGAGCTGCTAGATTCTGCAAGGCCTGAATTGCAACTACACTATTTTAGGGCTCGAGGTAAGTGGTCCCAGGTTGTTCAGTATTGTGTAGTAAATGTCAATCTTTGAAGACTGACTCCTGTTGAGATGCTGGAATCTGTTGCCCGGTATGTAGTTGCTGGGACGCCAAGTCAGAAGCGTAAGCCTGGCTCCCCTCCTTCCCGGTGGCCAAGAAGGCTTCGCTTTCTTCCTCGGCCCCTACTACTGACTCTTGCTCCTTCCCCTCCCGTTTCGGTGGTTGCGCCCCCTGTTCCTGCTATGGAGGTTTCTTTGGCCCTTGCTGAGGTGTGCTCCCCTCTTCCTGCTGCTGTCCTTGACTGCTCCTCTCCGTTGTCTCCTCTTCCTCCTCCTCCTCCGGACCCCGCCCGCCCACCTCTGGTCTGTTCTCCTGCTTCCTTCTCTCCATCTTTGCTCAGTTTACCCATGCCCCCTAACCCTGACTTTGCTGACCCTGCTCTTCTTTAACGTGCTGTGTTGCTCTTTCGCCTTTGTTTTTTCCTTATTCTCTGTTGTCCTTTCTCTTCTCGTCGGTCTATTCTTCAATGGAACGTTCGAGATTATTACACCAATTTCCTTCGTCCCCTTACTTTTTCCTTCGCCATCCCATTGTTCTGCTGTTCGTATCTTTGTGGGGAAATGGTACACTGTTTCTTCCATTTACACTGTTGTTCCATCTATCTCCCCCCCGAGTGTCCCACTTTCTCTTCATGATCTGAAACACTTACTGGACTCCTTGCCGGAGCCTGTGCTCCTGCTGGGTGATTTCAATTGTCGTCATTCCCTTTGGGGTGATATTCTGACTAACACCTGGGGTTGCCTTCTTGAGCCGTTTCTCCTCTCTTCTTCCCTGTCTCTTCTGAATTCTGGTGAGCCCACACATTTGGACACTATGACTCGCACCCTTTCCTGTCTTGATCTTTCTCTCTGCTCTTCTTCTCTTTACTTAGATTTCACGTGGCAGGTTCTTGATGACCTCCATGGAAGTGATCATTTCCCCATCCTTGTTTCCTTTTTCTCTTTTTGCCCTCCCCTCTCCTTCCCTAGGTGGCAGTTTGTCAAAGCGGACTGGGACCTCTTTACCCTCAGCGCTGCTCTCTCTGACCTCTCCCTTCTATCCCAAGCTCTCTCCTCCTTTTTAATGACTGTCTTCGACGCTGCCCTCGGCTCTATTCCTCGCTCTTCCTCTGGAGGTCCACGGAAGTGTGTTCCCTGGTGGAATGCAGACTGTGCTCGGGCTGTCCGCTGTAAGCATACTGCCTGGAAGACACACCACCGTCGGCAGCCGGCTGACTTCTTTTCTTTCAGAAGACAAGTGTGGTGGCCCGTAGGGCCATCCGTACGGCTAAACGTGAATGTTGGGCATCTATGTCTCCACCATTACGTTCGAAACTCCTCTGCCACAGATCTGGAAGCACATCTGCAAGATAGCGGGTAAGTTCGTTCCTGATGTTTCACTGGTCCTTCACCTCCATGGTACTCTGTGGGAGGATATTTTGATATCTTTTGCCTTGTGCGTTTTTGTTTTCGTATTGTCATCCTTGGTGATATTTAGCGCCCTCTGATTATTCAACACATTTGATGGTGCTACATAGCCTTCCCGCTTTGGTGTCTTTTTCATAATTACTTGATCAATGGCATAAAACTTTGGTATGACAATGTTTTCTAATGCTCTACAATCCACACCTTCCCACCCTCTTGAGGGATTGGAAATTCACTGGTTGAGAGCCATTGGTATTGATTTCACAATAGTGATGATTGTTCACAGACCTGATCTGTAAATTTTTTGAAGAAAATAAGAACGGCCATCTGATAATGATTCTTGTGTAAAATAGATTTTAGTGTAGTGTCTGTTGTTAACAGGTATGTTCTTTACAGATAGGCAGCTGTTATGGTGTTGGAGTGACTGTCTGGAGTCAAGCTTCATGAGTTTCTTAGTCCCAGCTCAACTGAACTCCTAATAGGTAGGCTGTTAAGTGTTTTATTAAATTTAATTTGCTTGGTGGGTGTGGCATGTAGTTTACACACATGGCTAAGGGTATAAATTTGAGATTGTGGCAATGTGGCTTGCAACCATTTTTTCCAATGAATTTATTGTAGAAGGGGGTGGCAATTTTTGACCAATTCAAAATTCCAAAATCAAATTTAGCAAAATTCAATTATTTTAAAGTTGAAGATAATTGTGCAGCCCTATAATTTTTTTTGGAACGGTTAGTGCAATTTCTTGTGACAACTATTTAGTGCAGAAATGAGTCGTGAAATCTGGCATAAATAGAGGAACCGTAACAATATCTATGGTTATGCTCCGCAGCCTCCCAAAGCTGTATAGTCTAGGAAGACAATATTGATTTTAATATGATTTTGCTTTTGCAAGTGGATGAGAAGCAATATGAAAGGACCCCTTGATGAACTTTGTATATAGAACTTAAATGATGATTGTTCAGACCTGTTCTGTAATTGTTTTGAAGAAAGCAAGAAAGGCTATCTGAGAAGCATTCTTGTATAAAACTAATTTTAGGGTAACTTGTGGTGTTAAAATAGGTTTCTCTTTCCAGGTAGGCGGTTCCAGGGTGACAAGATATCATGCAGCCTTTTCCAAAGTGATTGATGTCAATATGCAACAAATGTTTAAATACTGCAATAAAAGATGTAAACATTCCGATTTTTATATTCCTCCGTTGATAAAATTGTCTTTGGGTAACAATGGAACCTAGATTCCTCGAATTGAGAAATTTAAGTTCCTCGTTATTTATGACTACAATGTCATAAATAACGAGGAACTTAAATTTTAATATTTTAAACATTTTAATATTTTCTGAACCCTCTGAACATGTTGAATGTGTGTACAAAATGTGTATACTCTGAGCATATGCACTGGTGCAAATGGTACAATCAATCTTGTGGAAGGTTGAATGTGAGGTTATTGGGCCTACATTTTTTCAGGCTTTTTTGGTTGCAAGATTGTTTACAACGTTAACATTTTCAAGCAAAGTATGTTGAATGCTAATTAAGTAGACCTTAACCTGACGGACATGCAGTTATAGACTGTATTTTCTATGTCCTGCCTGTCAGGAGTGACATGGCTTTCGATGTCTAGGAGAGCTTACAATTGGAACGGCTACATAATCTCTCAATTATTTCCATTGAAAGGTACTAGTCTTTGCTTGCTTAGCCTTGCTGAAATTGCAGTTTTCAATTTTCAGTCACTTCAGGTGGAAGTGCTGGCTGTGTTTCCCCCTTTTCAGATTATTGTAAGAATTCATGTAATAACATTTTAAGAGATTTTTAGTTCTAGTGGAGTAGACTAGTTACTTAATAATATTTGGTATATGTTAACAATTTTGTAAACAATTGGTAAGCAATTTTCTGAAAGAAAACATTTGAGTGTGCAAGCCATTAGAATTAAATTTGTTAAATTAGAAAGGTTGCAAGGTAAGATTGTTATTACTGAGCTAAACTGAACTTCTAATTGGTAGGCTGTTAATGTGTTGCAATGTAGAATGCTCTGTGGGTGTGGTGTATAATTACTTTATACACACAGCTAAGGATATATGCTCTGATAATTTACTAAGTATCACAGACCTGTGTATGGTAGACCCATTATGATGGGCCTACCAACGTATGGAGGGTTAAGGCCACTATAGCTTAGTCTTGGACTAAAAGTATATTGTGTGTTGTGCTGCAACTACAGTATACGCTTTAGGGAAATAACACAGCCAATATGTACGTTGTGGTATCTAGTACCATGTGTATGAAATGGTCTGTGTACTCTAAAATAGTTATTGTACAAATTGGCCAGATCTTTCTTAAGCAGAACTCTACCTAGGCCTAAATATGCAATCTTGGACCTAATATAGTACACATGTACTTAACTAGTCCTAGGAAACTATAGGTTCGATTGTTAACTTTTTCACATTACAATGTAACCGGCTGTGGGAAACTGCTCTGGTGAGGTTACGCATTTGCCATAGACGTTTAACTCGCAGCCACTTAATGGAGCGCTGCCCTGCTCCTTATTGTCCCTATAAGTCATGCATATTCTTGCATGTTGGTAATTCCTGGACGTGCGTGTCATGCTTCCCGACCGTCCCTCCATAGAATTTGTGTTGAATCTGACACCTTCGATATTGTTCGCTTTGTGCTTTTCTCGTATTGGCTTCCTTAGTGACATTTATTTAGCGCCCTATGAATAGCCCGCACATTTGATGGTGCTGCATAGCCTTCCTGATTTGGTTCTTTTTGATAATTTCTTGTCTGCCGAGGCTAGGATCTTCACGGCTGAACTGTGCGCTGTCTTGTATGCCCTTCCGCAGTTGCTTTTGCGTCGTAAGCGTTAAGGCTGTGCTTGGGCTAAGAAACTTGGCAACTATTGAAGATATTGAAGTAGGTATCAAATTTTTCAAAATGGTCGAAAAAGATTATCGAACAAGTGTCAACTGAAATCGTGTCTATGACTGCTATCACTATATCATATATTAAAACAAAATTATAATTTTTATCGTAGTTTGTGTCCGAGAGGCTGCAGGGTCCAAGTACAACTTCTAGTTGCAATTCTTTTACCATGTAGCGCAGTCGAATAAGGCAGCGTATGGGATGCTCTCGGACGTAGGTTCGAACCCTCTTCACGCCTTTGTGAATTTGTTCATTTGATGCATCACGCTATTGTGATTTGTGTGTGTAGTGTGATAAGTAGTCTGCACTGGATGGTCAGATACACAGGATGCTCTCAGGATGGTCAGATACACAGGATGGTCAGATATACAGGGTTCAGTAGCCTGAAGTGGCACATTTTGAGTACATTATGAGTATCTTTTAAAACACAAGTTCACCCAACAGTGGATGACTATCACCGGGTTGTTGAACAATTTGGCTAGTAAAGTTCATGTTTATTTATTGAGACAAGAAAGAAATACATCTCAAAGGGATAGTTGCCTAGGCTTTCTACCACCCTACTTTGGTGGATCGTATAACGGGGGAAAATTTCGAATTAAGGACCTGCCTGAAATGCTATGCGTGCTGGTGGCTTTACGAATGTCTTAACTCCTGTGTATAAATAAATAAAATATTTTGATATTGCTCGCTTTGGTGCCTACTTTTGATAATTATTTTGGTGCTTTAATTTTTATTTATGTTGTATATTACAGATTAATTGTAAACCAAAAAAATGACGTACCAGATTAGAGTGATATGGATGAGGTGTCCTCCCCGCCTATGGATGGGGGTACTCGTGTAGTGGTTGGGCCCAAAGAACTGGTGGGTAACGCATTCATAGTGGCGGGGCCCGTCTGACCCCCCCAACTCCACAGGGGGTTGGACGTTCAGACAAAATCTGGTAGTGGTACAGGTGGTGGACGCGTTCCGTACATATCGTATCGTACGTCTTTCCGCTCTGGGCTCTAGTTAGCTGTCGGTACCAGTCCTGTCCACACACTGTACAGTGTACTTCTTCACTATAGCAGCCCTGCGTCACTACAGCAGTCCTGCGTCAGTACATCAGCCTTTCCTCAATAGCAGCCCTGCGTCATTTGTCACTACAGCTGCCAGACTACAGTAAGTTTAAAATTTTCTTAAGTTTCACACACGAGTACCGTCTATATGTGACTGATATTGACTTAACGGTCATTATAACAGTTAATGTGTTGGATGGTACCCATGGTTATGGATGGTTCCCCATTATTATGGATGGTCCTCATAGTTATGGATGGTACCCATGGTTATGGATGGTTCCCCATTATTATGGATGGTCCTCGTGGTTATGGGTGGTCCTCGTGGTTATGGATGGTCCTCGTGGTTATGGATGGTCCTCGTGGTTATGGATGGTCCTCGTGGTTATGGATGGTCCTCGTGGTTATGGGTGGTCCTCGTGGTTATGGGTGGTCCTCGTGGTTATGGGTGGTCCTCGTGGTTATGGATGGTCCTCGTGGTTATGGGTGGTCCTCGTGGTTATGGGTGGTCCTCGTGGTTATGGATGGTCCTCGTGGTTATGGATGGTCCTCGTGGTTATGGATGGTCCTCGTGGTTATGGGTGGTCCTCGTGGTTATGGATGGTCCTCGTGGTTATGGATGGTCCTCGTGGTTATGGGTGGTCCTCGTGGTTATGGATGGTCCTCGTGGTTATGGATGGTCCTCGTGGTTATGGATGGTCCTCGTGGTTATGGGTGGTCCTCGTGGTTATGGATGGTCCTCGTGGTTATGGATGGTCCTCGTGGTTATGGATGGTCCTCGTGGTTATGGATGGTCCTCGTGGTTATGGGTGGTCCTCGTGGTTATGGGTGGTCCTCGTGGTTATGGATGGTTCTCATCGTTATAGATAGTTCCCATGATAAGGATGGATTTCTAAACAGCAATCCCCGTGGCGTAGTGGTAAAACACGAGCTCGGCGTTTCACGAGCGCTTTGGCCTGAGTTCGTATCCTGGCCGGGGAGGATTGACTGGGCGCCAATTCTCAACTGTAGCCACTGCTCACCTAGCCTAGCAGTGAATGGGTACCTGGTTGTTAAAATATTTGGCGGGTCGTATTCCAGGGGGAAATTGGGATTAAGGACTTGCCCGAAACGTTGTGGGTGTTCAAGAATGTAAGAACTCTTGTACATACTGTATAAATAAATAAAAGTAAAATCCGTGGGTGGTTCCCCTTGGTTATCGATATTAATCAGGTATTCAAAACGGGCTCACCATAGCCCGTGTTATTTGGAACTTTTTGTTCCAAGTAACGAATCTTAATCAGCAACAACAATCGGGTATTTAAATGAACAACGGAAAATAACATTTTGTTTAATGATAAGTTCCATCTACTGCGCCATGAAAACGCATACAAAAATACAGCCAAGTTACACCTTGTAACGAAAAAGCAATATATAAGATTCGGGATTATAATTTCGGGAGAAGATACTTTTAATGAATGCAAGAAAGTTGCTACCACAACTGCAAGAAAAATGACAGGTTGGAAAACAAGACAAAATTCACACGAGATGCCACTTTATAAGATAGTGTTCTCTAGGGTGACAGATTGTTGCATACTAACACCTCTGTTTAAAGATGGAGAAATTGTTGACCTGGAGAATGTGCAAAGGCATTTTACCGGCCGAATTTACTCAACATTTAAATTATTGGGACCGCTTAAAATGTTTAAATCTGCACTCACCTAGTTGTGCTTGCGGAGTTTGAGCCCCTCTGTGGTCCTGCCTCTCAATTGTCAATCCACTCTTGTCAACTCTATTCTCTTGTAAGGATCTAGTATAATAATTTGCACTTTGGAAGTATTAGAGGGACTGGTTCCAAATCTGCACAAGGAAATAACTTCGTGAAACCAGGAGATGAAAAGTAGCTCAGTAGAAAGGCAATAGGTGCGCTAAGAGAGCTAAGAATTAATCAACATTAATAGACCCAAGACTCGATACTCTTCCTTTATGCACCAGTGCAGTCATTTTATGAAAACTAGGTAAAACGCAATCACAAGCAAAGAATTTAGCGCACATATAGTATTTGGTCACTCGACAAACATACTTATTTCCCAAAAAAGGAATTTGTGCTATTGCCGCCATCTTTGAAAATGGCCGCAAAAAAGCACATTTTTCACACTGATCTCAAACTATCAACATTATCTAAAAAGTTCCAACCTAAAAATGTTTGCCTTAACATTGTCAACATTTTTTGGTTCTTGTCATTTTCCATATAACTTGCCATTAAGCCAGAAATGTAATTTTGTTTACTATTGAAAAATATGGCAACAGCACGCTTGCCCTCTCTCTATCTGCCCGAATATTATACATGAGAGCTTTTACATACAAATTTAAAGGTTCAAAACAACAGACCATAACTTTCTAAGTAATCATCACAAGTTTTTATTCAATTTTGAAACAATTACAGAAAGTTAAAATACAAATACATTTTAGAAATTAAATATTGAAGAAAGCTAATAATGGATGGTCCTCATGGTTACCATCCATATTATATATTATGGATGGTAATATTACCATCTGAGTATATTTTTTAGTGCTTTCATGTAACTTTTTTTATATTATTTTCTACCACAAACGTGGCCACACATTTACAATGCTAATTAGCATATATAAATATTCTGTCCTCCATGGACAGGGTTAGAGATCTGTTTAACATATAATTCAGTAATTTATTGAACAATCAACCACAAAAGGTGATTGTAGTACTTTTAAAATGCTAATCTAACCTACAAACATAAATACACAGATTTACGTCTGTCCTACATAAACAGTGTTCGAGGTGTCTTTTTACATAGGGTCATTAATGTGCGTTTACAAAGGTTTACAAAGGTGCGCAAAGGAGGTCATCCGGCACTAAGACCCGTGCTCGCTTGCGCTCTTCACTCTAAGCTGTATTAATTACTGCCCTCAACTACCCTCAGATGATGTAGAACACCACCTACAGGCAGCTAAGTACACGGAGTCCAAGCATGTATATCATAACCCATCAACAGAAACCAACCCAATCAACTCTCTCCATCGCAAATGCAATTCATAACAATCCTCTCCTGCTGTGATTACCAGCAGGTACAGTGCCTGCTGTCCGCCTCTGTGCTGCCAGACTCTAGTTTTCGCTACAACATATTCCCCATACCATACTCAACCAACCATGTCTTTCAAAAGCAAGGTTGCGCAGGGAAAAAAGAATCTCCAAATAAGGCACCCATCAAGAACAACACCGACAGCATCGTTTTTCGCCCTCTGGGGTCTGTGGCGGCGACGCTGCTTTCCCTTCTACTCCACCACTGAGCCAGGGGGCTGTGTCCTCTCAATCTGCTGCAAATTCCCCGCTAGCATCCCACTTCTCGCACCCACAACAGCAGCACTTCAAGCGTGCTGCTGGTCCCTCACCAGATTTCCAAACAAATCTGGAATCAAAACCAAGGTGTGATCCATCAGTGCTTTGCTAGAGATAGCATGATAAAACTAAGGAAAACTTCTAGATAAATATTTTACAATTGCAAATGAGGATAACCTCAACACATTCTTCACCCAATGTGGTTTGTCTCACCTGACTAACCCTATCAGTGCCTCATTTTAATTAACCCCCTCGTCACCAAGTGCAGGCTTGGTAACCTAGGTTTTATTGTTAATTAAGTTGCCTAGCCTCTCCATACTCCCTTGCTCCATTGTACCCTGACTTTGTCTATGTTCCTTAGTGCAAACTATTACTTTTATTACTTTTATTACCGAGTGTACCTCAAAGCAGTCTACCTCATTTTTGTATATTGCAACTTTAGTAATCTTAGTAATTTTCTTAAGTTAAAATTGTTGCTGCTCTATTTTACCTTGTTCCATTGAACCCTGGCTATGCCTGTGTTCTCTAGTGTAAACTGTTACTCTCAGTGTACTTGAGTGTACCTCAAAGTAAACCACCTCATTTTTTTCTTGTGTAATTTTAGTAATTTTATTAAGTTTTGTGTTTCATAGTCATTCCTGATTGGATCCCTTTTTACCTATCTATTTTTCACTTGTTCCTATTTTATTTGCATTTCATTTTTTTTAGATATATGCAAGAGTTGTTACATTCTTGTACAGCCACTAGTACGCCTAGCGTGGTTGCGCTCTAGCTGCCGTGAGGTGAGGACGCATCGCCTGACCTCTCTGGTAGTTTGGGGTGTTTGCCGTTTTCGGCGAAAGGGGGTGTGGGTGTCTCTACCCTCCCTGCTGTTCCTGGCTGGAGTGGACGTGGCACTTTTGACATGGGTGGCCATCTTTCCCCTGTTGTGAGGGTAAATTCCATGGGTTTGGAGTTTACGGAGCATGCAGGTTATCCTGTAGTGGAGGTGGTCATGTGTGACATGCTCCGTATCCCGGTCGAGGATATCTACAGAGTGGAGCTAGTAACTGCTCACCGTGTGGTTATCAAGTTTGTGGGGAAGCGGCGTACCGTGACTTTCTCCGGTGGTACGAGGGAAGTACCTTGCGGCTGCCGAATGGCACCGGATCTGTGTCTATATAGGATCGCAGCGGTGCTATGACGTACGTGAGTGTCCATGGGGCCCCCCATGGAGTTTCCTGAGACGCTCCTCCGGCGATTCTTCCAGCGGTTTGGCACCGTTGTCAGTGTGCGGATGCACTCGCTGTCTTCTGGCTAGTATGCGGAGGTGAAGATCAATATTCTTACCCTGGGGATGCGACCGCGTGTTGGACATTCCCTCCTCTGTCCGGCTTTTAGGGTACTACGTATGGGTGTACTATGCACGGCAACCGCGAACTGTTTTTCGTTGTGGCCTGTTGGGCTATCAAGCTGCCGGGTGCACTGAGGAATGCGGTTGCTCCCGTGAACATGTTCAAAGAAGAGGATTTCCCGCCGCTCCCTCTGGAGGAGGACTCCGGGGGTGAGGAGGTGAGTGTCCCGTTGGATGCCGCGGCTCCCCCTGCACCGCCTGTCCTGCCTTCGGTTGTTGAAGACCCTCCTCCGGGTGTTGCCATGCCGTCGGATGTGCTTCCTGGTCCCGTTGCTGTCCCCGCTGCTCCCAGTGACCTTCCAGGTGCTCTCTATGCGTTGTCGGCACTCTCCTCTTCCTCTGCTCCTGCGCCTGGCCTTGCGCCCTTGTTACAAAAATGGATGAGGGGCTTCTATGGGGTACTGGTACTATTAAGGGGTAAGGGTAGTTAGAAGACAAGAGTATCAAATATGGGAGAGCTAAAAGGCCCGGCCCCCAAAATAAACTATCCACAGTAGTAATAACTTGCTACAAGACCATATATGTTAGTCTAAGGGTTGATCAATGCGCTCCCACACTGGAAGAAGAGATACTCTGTAATTCATGTACTTATTTATTAACCCCTTAACAACCCCCCATATACACTCACACCAATAACAATAATAATAATAACTTTACCACACTATCTTACGTTAAAAGCCTTGGTCCACATAGGCAGGATACAAGGTTACACTAATAACAAGCTAGGGTAAAGTACTACTGGATAAGCACTGAAGCTGGATGCAGCTTAGGGTAGTGAGACCATGTGGTACCCTAATACAACACACAACACTTAGGGGTAAACAAAACACTGGCAAATACTAACCCCAGGTCTCACCAATATTTACTACCAGAGTAGGTTCACTTAATAATGCCCCGTACTTAACTTAAGGATACAGGAACTTCAGGTAAGGGAAATAAGTAAGAGGAGAAGGGAGAAGAGTAGGGGTGCAGCCACAGAGTAGATCTTATCCGCACGACACCAGCCAGAGAAGAGAGAGCTAGCGACCAGCTGCCTCCCTCATGTCGTGGTGCCGGAAGGAGCCTAATTGATCGTGCAGCTAAGCACATTAAAGATCTTCCCCTATGCAACGTATTGTTACTTTATGAATGATTAGAAAGTATTAGTAAGCAAAGTTGGTGCCTATGTTATTATTTAATAATCAACCCCCAGCTCAGTCTTTAAATGCTCTTTGAGAAACAATAATAGTCTTACGTCTGGCAGGGAAGATACAAACAATTGCCATTCGAGATGCACAACTGTACTACCAGAAAGTTTAATAGCTCAATTTTGACCTCTGGTTTCCACTGGAGAACCCAGGGTCGTAACAGCCCTCGTCTTGTGTTCCATCTGTGATGGGTGCTGGGGTGGTGGTGCGCCGCCTGCTGTATGCGGTCCGGTTCCACCTGTGGTTGAGGCTGCTGCTGTTCTGCGTCGGGTGGCGGTTCGTCCGGCTGGTAGTGCCCGTGTTTCTGGGTCTGCATCCGGCTCGGACGATGTCCGCTCAGAGCCCAAGCATTCCCGGCTTTCGTCTTCTGCCTGGGCTGATGTGGGTGACTTCAGTGACTGTGGGTCTTCGGGTGTTGAGGTGGATCCAGTTGCATCGATGTCTATGGAGTTAGTGGTGGCGGAGGTCCATGTGCCTGCTGGTGCTGGTTCACGTGACTCGGCCATGCCCTCTGCCCGAAACACCACTGCGTAATAGTGGCTTTAGGCATTGTATGTACTAGCTCTATCTACACATCTATCAATTTGTGTAAAATCTCTTGCATGTATGTATGTACCTTACCTGAATAAACATTTATTTATATTTATTTATTTATTCTGTTCCCTCGCCTTCAGGGGACTCTCCACGGTGGGGGGTGGTGGCTTCTGATGCCAGGGATGGTATGGGTACTGGTCCTGGGCGTAGCCTCGTGGTTACCTTATGGAAGGATGCGCGCCATCCGGTGCCCGTGGCCGCGGGTGCCCCTGTGGTGGTGCCCTATGTCAGACCCGTTCCTGTGAGGGTGTGCGTTGGAGACCCGAAGACGCGTTGCCGGCGTCTGTGATGCCGCCGGGTCACTGGGCGTTGATTGCCGAGTTAATACTGTTGGATGAACCGGACTGCTTTCATGCTGGGCGGGTTCCCATCATGTGGGGACGCGTGGCAACTACGCGCCTCGTCAGTACTACCATCTGGGTCCCCTGTTTGCGGGTGTTTGTTTCCGGGGTTCCGGAGGTTAAGACTTCCCCTGTAGATGAGCTGGACCCTCGGCGGTGGTTGCTCTGGGAAGCGTTCCATGTGCCGTTCCCGGGCAAGTATGTTCAATGATTATCTGTTCCTTTGATTATGTAGTAGTGTGTGCCCCTCTGACTGTAATGTTTGCCCTATTGTGTTATGTGCTTGTGCCTCTCCTTTTGTTTATTGCGAGCCAGTGGTTAGTTGTGAGTGTTCTTGTTTAATGTTTTGTGTTTTATTAAATTTTAAATTTTGCCCCGAGGGGCGAGTTTATTGGGCAGCACCACTCATCTTGTGAGTGAACATACCGCCATAGCAGAATGTACAACACTCCCCAATAGGAAGAAAACCCGCTGGGTTGTTCATCCTGTCACTTGTACCCAGACACAGCTGGGACTTGCTTAACTGTCTCAAGTGAACAGCTCCTCAAACAAGAAGATTAACATTTATCAACCCTTAAAAGCTTACGTTATCTTGCGGGTGCAAAATGGGGAAATCTTTTAAGAACAGTATCAATATTTGACAAATAGTGTTTTCCTAACTCAAACAATGTGGGGTTTATTATTCTACAGTTATTCCTAATGTCTCTCAGGTGTTCACATTCACGTAGATAGTGGTCAAGGCGGTGTCCATCACTCTCACCACAGATTCTGCAACTTCGCTGATCAACTGTTGTTTCCATTCCAAATCTCCATGGATATTTGTATCCAAGACGGATTCTCGCTATTACAGATTCTCTCCCTCGTCGTCCTCCTTTTCGGCCATACTGATTGGGATTGCCAGCTGCAACCATGTTGTACCATCGTACAGATTAACTGGTTTGTGCTTCTATCCTCCTTTCCTCAGTTACCTTGTCACGGTGATGTTGCCTGATAATACCTCTAATTTGTAGTTGAGTCTTGGGTATGAAGTATTCAATATGGTCTCCTTCAGCGCCTTCAGCAGCCAGCACATCTGCTCGTTCATTCCCACATATTCCAACATGGGAGGGGATCCACCGAAACTTGATGACTCTTCCCTGATTGGTAAGTACTCTCACAGCTCTCTTGATTTCAGCGACTATTGCAAGATTTTCTGCCTGATATTTACTTAGGCTTTGCAGTGCTGCTTTTGAATCGGTGCAAATCACTGCACCATTAGTGTTCCGTTCAAGAAACCTTAACGCCATAACAATGGCAGTTAGCTCTGCTTGCGTTGAAGAGGCATAGTTCTCAATACGTGCTTTTTCTTCATTTCTGCGTTGGAACGTATTATCCTTGATTACCGTGTATGCTGCACCAGCCCTGCCATTGATAGGATTAGATGACCCGTCAGTATAGATTTGATCTAGTTCATCTCCGGCTTCTTTATAAATGTCCTCGAGATACTTGTGCCTCATTTCTTGTGGTATCATGTCTGATTTTTTCATTGCCATTTTATTGATGATGATCTTGCATGAGTCATCCTCCCAGGGAGGTAACCTCTCTACAGGCAGGAGCTCACGGGCTTGCTCAAGCAGGTGAAGCTCTTCAAGGTAGCAGACTGCTCTGTGATGCCATTTTTTGCTTCTCCTGTTTCCCCCTGAAAGTAGCACAGAGCTCAGTTTTTTCTTGGCAATATCATTGTAATGGGGATCTCTGGCTATCCTAATTGCAAGCTTAGCATTCAGCTCCTGAATTCTGCTTTTAATACTGGGAAGGGACAACTCCTCTCGTAGATTAGACGTTTTGTGTTGTTATTGTGCCCTGTGTTTTTTATTCTTGGCTTGTATATTTTGATTTTCTTGTTATATTTTGTGTTGTTATATTTATGTCTTGCCTGTACGTCATGATGTTTATGTTTGTTTTGTTTCATGTGTTATTATGTTTTTGTGCCTTGCTTGCTTGTTTACATTTTCTCTTGTGTTCTGTTTTGTCTTGATGTATACTGTTTTCTCTAGTTATGCTTGTTATTTGTACTGTGCTGTCGGTCCTTCTGGCCGGTGTTTTTTTTTTTTTGCTTTGTTATTATGTTTCTTCTGTTATTTTTATTGTATTTCACTTGCATGCTTGCATGTAAAAAAAAAAATAAAAAAAAAAGTACGCCTAGTGTTTTGGGCAGGTCCCTAGAATACGACCCCCACGAAGAATCGTTGTTACAACCAAGTACCCATTTTACTGTTGAGTTAAACAGAGGCTACAGTTAAGGATTTGTGCCCAGTAAATCCTCCCCGGCCAGGATACGAACCCATGGCAAAGCGTTTGCGGAACGCCAGGCGAGTGTCTTACCACTACAACACAGAGACTCATGCTATAGTTATGTTTTATATACAGAACTTTTTTTGTAATTGCTCCAAATTTCCTTTATTTTAAAAAACTTAGTTTTAATTTTTATTTGTTTACTCTTTACACTGCATCATAAATTGTACCTTTGCCTTCTTTACCGTCAAACAGCCCTCTTATGCAACCTAGTATAGACCTGAACTGACTCTTATCAAGTATCTATGACAATCATCACTTTAATGATCAAAATTGCAGGTATTATACAGCACATGATGTAAACAATGTATTAATGCATAATCAGAATGTTTCTGTAATTAACTTCAATGTAAGATCTCTAAGCAAACTTTTTGATGAAATTAATGCCCTAATTGAAACAGTTGACAACAAATTCTCCGTTATTAAACGTAATGAAACATGGTTAAAAAGAGGATACAACACAACTCTTTAACATACCAAACTACTCGGCAATTCACAACTGTCGACCAATTCAAAGTGGTGATGGTACTGCTCTTTACTACACCAAGAACTGACATACTTAAATGTAATTAGAACTAGAGACTCCTGTGGCGAGTTTCTTTGTCCTTTGTCCATTTCAGAGTCAAGGCTGCTGATGTTGACCTGACTATGGGAGCAGTTTACAGAATTCCTAACAGTGATGTTGCTGAATTCAACTCTAACCTTAGAAATCTAATATTAGCAAACATCAACTAATAATCTCAGGGGATTTTAATATTGACCTCTACGAACCTGATAACCCTCAAGCTGCTAGTTTCCTCAACTGTATGAATTCCTGCTTCCTCATACCCTCAATCACTAAACCTATTAGAATCACTGATATGACTGCCTCTACTCTTGACCATATCTGGACTAACATAACCTCTTCACTTATTAAAGGGATAATCACGGATAGGACCACAGACCATTACCCCACATTTCTTCTAACCAACATTAATAAACCACCTCTGGATACAATGAAGATAAGCTTTAGGCTGCACAATGAAACTTCT